ACAACCACACGGCTGCTTAATTTTCCGTTAGGTTTTTTTGTTTGTCACACTGCTGTTATCTGAGCTGTGTGAAAATAAGCTAATTTTCCATCAGTTTATTTTAAAATTTAACAATGTGAAAACGATTTGGAGTTTTTATTTGCGTTAATTTATTTATTTAATTTAATTTAATAATTTAGTTTAATAATTTAGTTTAATTAAATTATTTAATTATTTATTTAATTTAATTATTTATTTGGAATCGTTTGGGGGATCAAGCAGGTGTATGTGTAATGACTATAGAATGGCATCTTTTCAGATAAACTTTACATTTCATTAGCTGAGTAATTTTTTTTCTAGTTCAATAAAAGTATTTTAAAACAAATAATGCAAGGGTTTTACATCTTAAGACATCTCAAGTAGGTTTCAAATCTTTTTTTAATTTTTTTATTTTACTTCAAACTTAAAATGTTGGTTTATGTTAATAGTGTCAAACATAGCCATAAAATAGTAATTTCTTTAGTTGTTTTTAAAGACTTATGCCTGAACAATTGTGTTAATAATTTTTATGTTTCTTTCTAGAAGATGCATCTCTGCATTGAAACTGTCTACTGTGGTCTCTGCTGTATTATAAGCTGCCCTGTAGGCCCAAGGTGCTGGATTTCTGTTCAAAAGGTCTTCTGTTCCCCCTGATGGTAGAGTTTATTTCTTTTTTCATCAACCTGAAGTTGTTTCATCTTAAGCAGTTGCTGTTGCTTTAGATTTTGGAGGGAGCCCTATAGGCCCAAGACGCTTCTCTGGCGTTTCAAAGTCCATCAGTGCCCCCTGTTGGTTGACGTTATTCATTTTTGTGTGATTTCATCTCTTCAGTAATTGCTGATGCATTATGGCAGACACCCTGTTAATACAAGCTGCTGAGTTGTTTATCAGGAAATGCTTTGGCGCCCCCTTTTGGTGGTTCTTGTTTTTTTTTTTTTTTTTTTTTTTTTTAGCCAACTGAAATTTTCACTTAAATTTCAGTAAACTGTATTTGTGCAATATTTATGGGAGCATTTAAGTTTTTTTTACTTTTCCAAACCTTAGGATGAAAGGTAGTTTTACAACTTTTAACAGAATACCATTATTGCACAGCCTCCTTCAATATATAATAAACAATGTTTAAACAAACTTTTCAACATCTTGCTTTACATTGATCAGGGTTTTAAAAGTAGCCATTATTGGTCCATCATAATAACACAAAAAACATTGAATAGGGATATTTCTAGACTGTATATACTACTTAACACGAGTAATGTGGAGGTGAAAATAAAGCAACTTTGGGGTTTTATTTACATCTGCACTAAAGTCATATAACCTTAAAAAAACATGATAGTGAAATGCAAATTTGGAGACACATACCCTCCATAACCAATCTTGAGGTTTTATGACTCCACTGTCCTGATATGTCATCAGAAGTAAAAAAAAAAAAAAAATCAACATATAAACATGATACTTAAAACAAACCAGTGTCCATTTATGATAAATAAAATAAAAACTAAAAGGACTGCAACACAACATCATATTCATGATCAGCAGAAGCATTTGTATCAATTTGCTCATTTTGCTCCAAACAAAGGATTCCCTGTGTTATAAAGCATTGGCAAAAAGGGGCCTGTTAGGGCTAACGAAGTAGAGAGGGTAGACCCAATTGCACATATACAGGCTAAGGCCAAATGGTGAGTTAAGGAATTCAGTGCTTAAAAAAAATTTATGTTTTTTTTATCCCGAATGAGAAAAAACTAAAATGTTTACAAAACAGAAAATGTGTTTCTTGGGTGTTTATTATTTATTTATTTGGACAGCTACTCTTCCTGGGGTCCTTTTAAAATAATGTGTTATGGCCTTGCATAGCAGAATGGGGTTACGAGACATGGAAGTGGTGACTCATCTTGACCTGAAACAAAACAATATCTAAAGAAGAGACTTAGACTTAATTCAGTTCAGTTCAGTTTATTTATTTAGCGCCATTTCACAACACGTGTCATCTCAAGACACTTTACAGTTTACCAGATCATGCAGTCAAATTGATTCAAAGTTTCCTACCTAAGAAAAACCAGTTGATTGCATCAACTCATTGACTCCAATGCAATCCCTCACACTAAGCATGCTTGTAGCGACAGTAGAGAGGAAAAACTCCCTTTTAACAGGAAGTTAAAAAACTTAGTCTTAATCTAAAGATTACAATAAGATCAAGCAAGAGACAGCTTAAAAGAAAAAATAAAGAAAATAAACCGACACTTCAAAGAACAGGAACAACGTCTGCAGCATCTATGAGAACTCTTAAATCTCCCTTTCTATTAAGCATTATGGAGCATTAGAGTTCCTAGATATTCACAAAACCTTACTGTTGACATTATGCTGCCCCATTATCATGGTTCATATTGGGGAGTCTTGTAAACAGTGGTTACTATTTGATGATTTCATTCATGGATGATAATCCAGGAGTCTTCGAATTGTTGGTTTTACCTAGTTACAAAACATTTCAGTAAAAATCTGATGACAATGGGCCGAGGTTTCTCCAAAGATGTCTCTGGGTCTCAGGTTATTTGTGCCCCTTTCAGTTAAATTTTAATGATTTAACTTCAGCTTGTCACTGAAGATGCTTTCCACAAAAAGATGCTTTCCTTCTTGTCTCTCTTGATATCTGGCTTCTTCAGAAACAGAGATCAGACTTTTACTGATTTCCTCCCTAACAGTTCTAATCTTGCTTCAGCTGTTTAAGTAGTTTAAGTCTGATTTTCTTAGAGCGTCAAAGCCATTTTAGTCATTTCCAAGCTAATCTTGAGATCATAGACATGCAGTGAGAGTCCATCAACCCATTTATTAGATACATTCATGGTGATCTGGACTCAACTTTTAAAAGCTGTCTCCTGTTCTGCAAGTAAAGTCTTGAAAAAAATCTGTTGTCCCCCTAGGTCACCCACTTTAGTCATGGTGACATATTCCTCAGTTGTGGTATTTGAGGCTAACGGAGGCATGTTTAGGTCCTTTAGCCTGATTTACTGCGGACACAACGGATTTTGTTAAAATTGTTTCAGTAGTTCTTCTCTATAATAAGGTCAAAACTGAGGTAGGAGGTGCAAAAGCCTCTGTGTGATAGTCATGCAGGTGGTATCCTAAAAGGATGACCAAAATAATCCTCAGGAAAAATTTATTTGTTGAGCTGGAAAAGAGAAATGGTTTCCTGCTTGCCTTGGCATTGAAGTTAAAACCCAGTTGTGATGAAATATCTGTTGGGCCTTAAACCATGATTATAGTTGTGGACGTTGAGGACGAATGTCCATGTTTCATTTTAACATATTCACTGGACTAGAGGGGGCAGTTTTGCCCCACAGTGCTGCTCTCCTATTAAAGCAAAAACTCACTCCAAAAGACACTCCTCAGAAGTGTGCCTTGACAAAAGCACCACACCACACCGGCTCTCTTTCTATTTCCGTAAAGCTCCCAGGGGTTCACATTCGGAGAGAAAACCTTCATGGAAAGATAGGCCCAAGGTCTCCAGACTGACAAAGGTTAAGTTGTGATGGCTGACATTTTTAGAACTGAACTGCTGCTAAACAGGCCATTTGCAATATCTATCTCTGAGTTTCAGAAGCTTTAGATGCTGACTGGAGCCTCCAAATGAAGACCTTTGGAGGCTCCCAGCCCTTCCCCTTCACTCTGCTGTGAGGCTGTTGTTAAGCTGCTAAGTGCTGCAGGAAAGGAGGGAAGGGCTTAAGGGAAGTTTGCAGATCTGGCAACATTAGGGACAGATTTGCCAGTTGAACAATATGTCTTTTGACGGTTTTGATCATTTTATAAGTTCACTGTTGAGTAAAGACAAAGCTAAAAAGATGGATCGCATGGTACACTATGCTGCAGCAACGTGTTCGAGTTAAAAAACAAAGCTAAAACAAGCTTTATTTCACTAGGGGTTTAAACACTGATCTAACGCTAACATACATTGGTTTTCTCATATGCTCATTACAAATTATGACCAAAAGTAAATTTATGGGCATCCTAATGTCTGCTCACCTCTAGCTTGATCAAAGACTAAGAATCAGTTACCTAAAGGTTTTTGTTTCCTGATTAACCAAATCATTTAATAAAATATTATTTGGCAAAATAAGATTTTATTCACCTCTAGGATTTGCTTTGTGAATTGCTTGTTTAAAACATTCCAATTGATGTAAATTAGTTAAAGGCTAATTTGATTACTTTCCAAAAATTCTGGAGATAATTCTCAAACATAAAATCCATGCCAAAATGTGATATCATTACAACATTATGGTTTCCAAACACGTTCTTTCTTCTTCTTGGTACATAGTAGTTTAGTTTAGTTGAGTTTGAATTTATTTCGTATATGTGAAGAATTATCTGTTTAATCATTTACTGTTCTAACACACAGCCAGTAGGGCGTGTGTTCATAAACAATATGACAGTCTGAATATTATCTGACTGAATAACATATTTACCACCCCTACTGGGGTGGATAATACATGTATTAAAGTTCTACAGCATATCCTATTACTTTAAATAATGTCTGACATCAATGAGACTTTATTGATGAATCATTGCATTAGCTGCACATTCTTACAGTATTTATCTTTATACAAACACTAGGAGGTACCAGAGGATCCATTTTTCTGATTTTTGGACATGATACATTCATGATGTTGTGTGCATACAGTTTTAACAAGTTCATAAAAACTTTCACTGTTTTTTAACAATAGTGAGTTGTTATTAGATTTTAGTTTTACAAGGCCTTGTTAATCTGTGGAGCACAATCAAACAAGCATCTGACCTCTGAGTGCGTCTCAAGTTTAAATTGCACAGATGGGTTAATATTAACGAAGGCTATAAGCTCAGAGGCCAGACAACCTTGTTACAGTAAAGATACTTCTCAAGCCACCACACCTTCTTTTACTATTTGCTGTGTAAGCCAATTAACAGCTGGCCTATCCCTTTTATGAAGGTTTATGATTCACTGCCACTCTCTGACAGCTCAGTGTGAGAAATAAGTGAATTCAGACCACAGGATCATGGCAACAAGTTGGTATATTGTGTCCCTGTGGATATTTTGGAAGATCTTTAATGTTGCAGCTTTTAACCTGGACACCCAGAATATATTGCTAAAACAAGGAGATCCAGGCACTTTGTTTGGATTTTCTGTTGCTTTCCATCAGCAGCAAAGCCCTTCCAGAAGAAATCTGTGAGTAACGCTTATTTATGTTGTTGTTTCAGATATGTACCTTATCGCTTTGCTTTTTTTTTTAGATTACTTGTTGGAGCTCCACGGGCAAAACATCAGAATCAAGTAAATGTTACAGGAGTTGTTTACAGTTGTGATCTGGATTCAACATCTGAACGCTGTCAGCCAATCGAGTTTAACAGTGAAGGTTAGTTTGTTTTCTTTCTTTTTTTATGATTTCTTCGAGTCATCTCTGCTTGAATTTGTTTTAAAGTTTATATGAATACAGTTCTTTTTTTAGTTTCACTTTTTTTTTTATTCACACTTTGATTTAGGATTTCTCTACAAAAAATAGAACAGCTCTTTTAATGAACCCAAAGTAACAAAAAAAATCCCATATTGTAGAAGTCCAAACTAGAGTCAATTGTTAAGAGGAATAAGGTGTGTCTTACTTAATAGGTCAGTTTTATAATAAAATGCTTTATTTCTCATACAGTTGTAACTACATATTTACTTAAACATTTTAATGAGACACAACCTATTTCTCATGTCCTCTGACATCATGAGTCAAACATTTTCCTATCTTAGGCTTATTTTAGGCTGCTAGGATGGACAAATCTATTAATGTTTACCTAATCCTAGAATAATACAAGAATTATTATCTTGAGACAATGTCAAGGACAAAAAGTTCAGATTCATACTAAGATACATACATAAAATCATAATGAATTTATAGGAAATGCAAATAAAATGATAGTCATGTTCTGTTAATCTAATATAAGGCTTTAAATATACTTTAAATATATGTCTACGCTGTGGACATATATTTAAAGTTATTGTTATGGGATGCATTAAAATACAGTTTACAATGCCAGGTGGTAAAAAAAACTTATCTATTGAAGCCCATGAAGTCACTGACTTTGCAGCAAATTTATCTAAGAATTTCTCTACAATCCCACATGACACGATGCTGCTGTTCCTCAGGGATGAGGTGAGTGAGCATTTAAGATGAGATGCAACCTTTAAGGGAAAAGACCGGTCACATTCAGAATACAAACTTCTGAATGTACTTTAAATACGAAATCATGACATACTTTTCAATAAATGATCAATGTTTTTAATTAAGAGTAATTTCATTGGAATTAACTTTATGGATACATCCATGTTTGTCAAAGAACACTACTGCCACCTATTGGTTTGCAACATCACAGTGTGGTATCGGCAGTTGAGTAAGTTCCATCTGGTGTTTGTCACAATGCGCTATTATCCATGATGGTGATGACCAGTGCACTATGTGAAGCAAACAGTACGATTAATGACGTGTTTTTTCTCTGGCCAGAAGTTTGATGGCAAATCCTCCCTCTTCAAGTTGGTAATCCGACGACGAACCTGTGGTGGATCATGAATTGGAAAGTTGAAATAACTGTTTTTTTTTTTCACTTTTACTTGATGTATTACAACTTTTAACTGCCATGCACGTGGGCATTGTCAGTTTAACTATAGCCCTCTCGAAATCTTAAATAATTGTTGTTGATTGCAGATGTGTCTAGTAGCTCCCATTGATGCAAAAAAAGTACCGGTAAGCACTTGGAATGGGGCTAGGCTTAGTACACCGTGACATCACTGCCGGAAGATGTCAGTAGTGAGGTGTTACTATATGTGGGCAAAAATGGCCGTTCCCGGAGGTGATCGCACCGAAAAATATTGTTTTTATTTTTTTACTGATTAACGCTAAATTCATTAAATCACTGCAAACATATTAGTTTTGGGTATAAATAAAGACCCATTGGTTATTCCTTACTGACTGGACTTTTGCTTTCAGCAAATGGATCAAACTACTAATCCAGTTTTCCAAATTTGAAATTTATTTCACTATTTTTGCTTTTTTGTGGTATTATAATATTGAGATGCAATATTTAGAATATAGAATTCAAAAGATTTAATTTACTGTAAAAAAAATCTGAAAGCAGCCATTTTTCATTATATCATGAGAACCTTAATTTAAGTGAAAAGTGTTTTTTTTTATCCATTTTGATTGCAATTGAATTAACTACATCAATGTTTTTTGTAGAGTTTCTTGATAGTAAATACGTAAACAACCAGTGGATGGGAATTAAAGTCACAAGCCAAGGTCATGGAAGAAATGTATTGGTAAGAAAATCTTAAATGTTTGTGATAGTATCAGGTTAATTTAGGATCAGTTTTAGTTTTTTTTGTGTATGTGTGTATGTGTTTTTGGTATCACTCTTGATCCTACTTTCCCCTCGATGCATCAAGCACACTCAGTTTATGCTGTGTCAGGTCTTTTAGTTTATGTTGTTTTACCTTTATCTAAACATTTTGTCAAGTTTTTTACGTTTTGTTAAACTACATTAAGTGTATAATCTAAAAGTATCTATACTTTTCAAGGAAACTTAGGTGAACTGCTGCCATTTTGGTGATTAAATAAATGTAAAAAGCAATAAGCAGGTTTTAAACTGGTATCATCTCTTTCCAGGTTTGTGCTCACCGATATCAGGAGGGGAGTTCAAGCCAATACTCCCCCAATGTGCTGACTGGTCAGTGCTACCTTCTAGGAGATGACCTGCAAGTTGGGGCAAAAGAGAGGAGTTGGAGGAGGGTAGTTTGTGATCTTGAACACCTGAGCAGACGGCAAAAGAACCAGGACTGGTTTGCATACTGCCAACAGGGTCATGGAGCAGCTTTTGCAAAGGATAACACTTCATTGCTAATTGGAGCGCCAGGGGCTTACCAGTGGAAAGGTATATGAAAAATACTGTAGTAGGCTGAAGTGCTACATGTATGCCACCTGAAGTGGACTTCAGCTTTGAAACATATATTTATATTTTGAATGAATAGAATTATGCTTTTTACATCATTTATATTTTTCCACATATAGTTTATAGTAATAGACCCATTTATATTTAATTTCACTAATGCAAGATTAGAATATAGAATATAGATGCAGCATTGACTTTAATCAGAAGTATTTCTATTTTCTTTTTCTTTGTACCCATTACAATTTGTTAATAGTTTCAAAGAAATGTGTGATAAGATTTAATAATTGTTTGAAATGTTTCGAAGGTATTGTACGAATGGAGCATTTGGATGACTTGGACTTTGACAGTGAAAGGCCATGTGAAACTGGTGATATTGACCAGTTTAACCATAAACTGATTCCTCTCCGGAGAACCAGCTACCTTGGTCAGTTATATACATCGTCAATTTTTTCTGACTTTTCTGATGAATTCATGAAGACTCATATTTACTTTCAGGTTAAAATTTGGTGTAAAATTTCAGCCAAACGGCCTTCCTTTCTGCTCCCAGGGTTTTCTGTAGACTCTGGAATGACCCTCCTCAAACAGGGGGAGCTGACAATCGTATCAGGAGCTCCCAGAGGGGGTTACAGCGGCCAGGTGGCGTTCATGAAGACAGACCCTTTGGCCAAGAGAAATCTGTCTGTGGAGCTGGTTCTGTCAGGGCCTGGTTTGGCCTCCTCCTTTGGTTATGATGTGGCAGTGCTGGATCTTAATAATGACGGGTAAATTTGAGACTTTAAATCTGAGGTGACAGTGGTGTCGGCAGTGGTGTCGGGTGAAAGAGTTTGCCCTACAACTGAAGGTAACTTCAGCCGCATTGCCTGCTGATGGAGGTCAGAGGGCCCAGTGGCACCAGTGTGGCAGCCTCACTCCCGTCACTGAGCCCCAGAGCAGCTACAGTGCAGCCTGCCACCATCAGTGTGTGTGAATGGGTGAATGACTGAATGTAGAGTAAAGCACTTTGATGAAGTAACCTTACTTAAAAAAACACTATATAAGTACAGGACATTTACTTTAAACTAATCTAGGGGATTCCCCATCCCACATGTGAGTGGTTTCAAGACTGAGATTGGTTGATTTTTCTCTATTATTATTTTTTTCATCATTTTTTAGTTTGATTGTTTGTTGTAACATAAAATGTAATGTTTTTGTTTGGTTTTAAAAATGTATGGATGAGTTTTTATTGTATTTAGATCAATTTCTTTTTTGAAGTCTTACTATAGCCATCCAATTCACACCTTCTGTAAATTTGATCGACTACATTCTGTTTTTAGTGCTGTTGGAGCCTCAGTTTCTTTGCTTATACTGTCCTTACAATAGTATTTAGTTGGGGTCTGAACTAAAAACATGAGACATACAGTAATTGAAGTATAACACCTGTTGTTTATGTTTGTTTGAGCAGCTGGGATGATCTTGCTGTTGGAGCACCAGAGTTCTTTGTGAAAGACGGTAAAATTGGAGGAGCAGTTTTCATCTTTATTAATACTGAAGGAAAAAACTGGGAGAAAATTGTTCCCATCCAACTTCATGGCAACGCAGACTCCATGTTTGGACTTGCAGTGGAAAATATCGGCGACATTAACCGCGATGGTTATGGAGGTCAAGATGTTTTATCTTTTGATCCTGAATATAAGAATACTGATATGTAATAAAGTTTGCCGATTAACAATAGACATTGGGTACCTCAAAGCCTCATATTTATTCACCACTGAGGTGAAAATTAAGTTAATCTTTCATATTTTCTGACAGATATTGCAGTTGGGGCACCATATGATAACTCTGGTCGAGTGTATCTGTACTATGGATCACCTAGTGGTATCAACAAAAAAACGGCACAGGTATGTTTAATTAGATCGTTATCTAAATCTAAAATATCCCAACATTGAGCTTAGTTCTTTTCTCCAGGTACTTTCACCAGGTTTGAAGACAGTAAGTCTTTTTGGATATTCACTAAGCGGTAACCTGGACATGGATAACAATGATTACCCTGATCTGGCTGTAGGCTCCCTGTCAGACCATGTTTTTGTTTTCAGGTAAAAATTAAGAATACTCAAGATGAAACTTTAAATGATTATTACACTGTCTATTGATAAGCACACACACACATAAATATATATATTTATATCACCATATCATATATTTTATGTCTTATTGCAACCCTTGTGTTCTTTTGATATTCCAAACCTTCCTTAGCATGTTTTTGTTTGTTCTTATTCATTTTCTTCTTTTCATCTATCTTGCCTATAACTCTACATTCAGTCTGAAGCTATGAAAATGTACTTACTATACTTCTTTTATATTTAGACTTTTCTTATGTCAAACTGATCTCTTTATCAGAGTCATTATCTGAGTGAACATATGAATACAAATAAAGAAATTCATAATCCTTTTACTGAGAGAAAAGCTATTCAAAACAAATTGGCTCCGTGTCAAAAAGTAACTATAACTTAAACTGCTTGAAGCAAGTTTTGCAGCAAGAACTGCTGTCAAGTGCTTGTGTTTTTTTGTCCATTTTTATTTTGTGGATTTGCTTAAATTCAAATACATTGGAGGTTTTTTTAACCATAAACAGTCTACCTACTGCCACGCCTCAGAACCTACACTATATATACATCAAGAATTTGAACAACTTAGAGCCATTTTCAGAAATTGACTTCCTGTTTTGTTTTGGATCATTAAGCGACATCATAAGCAAGTATGTTTAAATATCAGGTCCTGAACTGATGGCCAGATGTGACTGAGAAATGTGTGACAGTTCTTATTGTGTCCTTTTGCTGAAATGCTGTGCAGGATTATCCCTAGACGCCCCATGTTGTTTCATCTGTTAGGCGAATATTTTCCCCAAAGGTTTTTAGAACTATCAAACGATGTAAAAGGGACCATTGTGTTTTTGCTATGCAGTTTTAACCTGAGAACTTTGCCAGTTTCCATTCTTCAGTTTTTTTTTTTTTTGCTTTAAACTGGCTCTAAATGTGCTGCTCTGAAATCCCAGAGTCTTAGATGTGCCAACATGATCCTCTCAAAGATCTGATTTTCGTCTGTTTCTGTTTTTTTTTAATTGGACCAAGCAATAATATGTTGCTTTTTTAGATGTAATTCTTCATTATGCTTTAATTTATCAGAGAGCTCTGTTTAAGTGATTCTTAAAATGCAAATGTTTTAATTTAAGGTTGTTTTGTCTAAAATGTTTTCAATGATCTGAATGTTTGTGACAAAAAGCTAAAAAGACAAGAAACCTATAAAGAGGAAAATACTTGTTGATGATGCCAGTTGTTTATTTAAAATTATCTTCCCCCGTCACAGAGCTAAGCCGGTGGTCAGTTTCATCCCCTCTCTTAACATAACACCAAGTCAAATAGACATAATGAAGGAAGGCTGCGATAAACGAACATGGTAAGAAATTGATATAAAATGAGAAAAATGCATTTAATGTCTCCAGGTGTATTCAGATTGACTTTTAATCCTGTACATATTTGCACAAACTTAAAGTTCTTTTTCAGGTCATTCATGCTTTTCTTACACATCATATCCAGCGTCTTTTAACCCAAAACTGAGTGAGTGGCCCTATTGATTGTTTGTTTGCAACTCTGGATTTAAACAAGTTGCTATTTGACTCCAAATAGCTGTTCACTTTGTGTAAAAATAGAATATACTCTTTAATCACTATAGTTTTATTTTGATTTAAAAGAGTAATACTGACTTATCTAATAAATGCTTTTATTGTTATTTCACAGTGCTCAACTACACTTTCAAAGCTGACTATGGTCAGAAGAGTTCCAGACCCAGAGTTATCCTCAAAGGTTCTGCCCAAAGAAACCTGGAGCTGCCGAGACAACAAAAACAAATCTGTACTCGCATACAGCTCCATCTTCTGGTTCTGTTTCAGTAAATTTTAGATTGCATTAAGGAGCTCTGCCTAAAACTCTCAACAGAAAACTATAAGAAAGCTTTTCTGTTTTAGAGAGACATTAAGGACAAACTGCGAAGCATCCCGGTCTCTGTGACCTTGTCTCTGTGGAAATCTACTGAAACAACCTCAGGGAGTTCAGATCAGTCCAACATGGATCCTGTCCTGAACATCTACGGCCAAAGCACTGCTGTGGCTGAGGTAAAGCTGTTTAAGGATACAGCTGTACAGTAGTAAAAAGCCTTTAGAAGAATGATGGTTAAAATAAAGAGGTAATTTCTGCTTGCTGTTTTCCTTTTTTTTCCACAGATTACTCTAATAAATCAGGGTTGTGGCAGTGACAACCTCTGCCAGAGCAATCTAGAGTTAAACTACAAGTTCTGCTCAAGAAAGACACAAAATGACCAAAATATTTTCCAATCACTTGTTGGGTAATCAGAAATATCCCCACTAACGAAACACAGAGGTTGAAAGAACATAAAAGCTCACCTCTCTGAAGGTGAGGAAGACTAAACTTATACTGTCCTTCCAGAGATGATGGTGTCGCTGTCATCACTCCTTCGGGTGAAGAAATTGCTTTGGAGATTACTGTGACAAACAGAGATGGGGATGATGCACATCAGTGTCACTCCGTCATTATGCTCCCAGATACGGTGCGCTATTCATCGGTTTTGTCCAGTGGAGGAGAGGTGAGTATAAACTAACAACACTGGGAATAAAAAGGTTTCTCTGTTGGTTTTCTTCTAAAACAAACTGTTTATCAAACACAATACTGCCCACATTATTCATTACCCTAAACCTTTTTCACATTATGTCACTTTAAAACCACAAACTTCAATGTAATGTACTGATTTTATTGACAGACCACTGATCTCTGTTTATTCAGTGGATTGCTGATAGGCCGTTGGCAGTATGGAGTGAAGTCACCAGCCGCCATATTGGTACTCTCTAGCTAGACCAGTCAGAATGCAAACAATACGTGCGCTACAGCATCGAACAACAATGATATTCTCATTTTCAGGGGGGCTTAAGATTTTTAAAACTAAAATAAAGTCATTACTTTCGCACACATTTGCTGTCTCATATCCTCAGTACTGTCATTTATGGTTTAAAAAATGGACACATCACATTGTCTATGCAGTATGAAGTCAATTTATTCTATAGATCAGGTAATATAACATGTCATAAAAATACATCACAACAAAATGTATCTGTTATTGGCACATAGTAATACTGTGGTCAGATGTTAAGAATATTACACACACCATCTGATGATGCGACAAAAGTGCTAAATTGATGATGTACTTGTAATATACATCTATTGATTACGTTGTTATGGTAATGGCATTACATTACAGGCATTTTATGCCGCAACTTTGTGAAAGTGTGGAGTCCTAAAATGGCGGCAGGGGACTTCAGTTTTTTTCAGTGTATCAGCAATGCAGTGAATAGAGATCAGAGTAATAGAACAACAGAGAGGCTCATACTTGGAAGTGTTTTTTTCCTCAGTCGAGGGTGACTATTCTGTAACTTTTATCTGTCTCATCATTAACTCCTACTAGCTTCCTTGAAACTGCAGGGGAAAAAAAGCATTTTCATGATAAGATACCACCCTTGCCATGTTATATTGTGGTAGGGTTGGTTTTCCGTCACACATGGCGTTTTTCATGACGATCACTAAGCTGAAAATTCTCACGTCTTGTTTCCCATTTGTTGGAGTTTTTGGAGAACTGCAAACTGAAGACCTCGTGGGTTTCTTTCAACTAAGCTTTTTTTGAGCGTCTTGGCTGCTTCTCTGCTTTATGCCCTCCTCACCCGCCCTGTGAGTTTGGGTAGATGGTCTTTCCTTGTGAAGTTTCCATTTATGACCGACCTATTCTATTTTTGGATGGTTCATTAAACAGCAGTTTGTGAGATATTCAAAGCCTGGGTTGTTCTTTTATAACCCAAAGCTGTGAAAAGTCATCATAACTTCATCCCAAACATCTGCTCTGTCTACAGATGTGTTCTAACAAACATCGGAGGCCTTTACAGTACAGTTGGATTTACAATGATGACTTCTAAAGACTGTTGAATCCTCTGGGTTTTTCATTTCTATGAAATCATTGGTTCTACCCGCCTGTCCTTGCAGGGTCACTGGGAGCCTCTAGGGAGCTTCTCCAGTAGTCACTACGTGAGGGAAGGGGTACAGGCTGAACAAGTTTCCCGCCTGTCATAGAAAAACTGAGAGCCACACAGTATCACACTTTTTTTGGGGCGACAGTGGCGTAGGGTGTAGGAGTTTGCCCTGAAATAGAAGGATTGAAGGTTCAAGCCAGTGTAGTGTGTCCTTGGGCAAGACACTTCACCTGCATTGTCAACTGATGGTGGTCAGAGGGCCTGGTGGTGCCAGTGTATGACGGCCCCGCTTTTGTCAGTGAGCCCCAGGGCAGCTGTGGCTACAATGTAGCCACCATCAGTGTCTTAGTGTGTGCGTGAATAGGTGAATGACTGAATGTAGTGTAAAGTGTCGCTTTGGTCAAGTCTCCTGACTTGAAGAAGTGCTATATAAGTACAGGCCATTTACCATTCTTATTCAAAAAGACAATTATAACCAGCTGACTTAATATGTTTGGAGTACGGGAGGAAGCAAGAGTAAACATAGAGCGAACCCTCCCATGCATGTCATGGAAAAGCTAAATCCATTCATGTTTACATTTAAACCCTAGCTCTTCCTGCTGCAATACACCTCTGTTTAAATATGCTAGAATTAAGGGTTTTTCTTTAAAATGTGACAAAATATGAGATGCCAAAGAGGTGTAAATACTTTTGCAATCGGGTGAATGTCTGTATCAGGAATATCTAACATTTTTTCAGCATGTTCATATATATTTATGTCATAACCTATTGTTTCCATGTTTAGGAAGACATCAGCTGTACAGCCAATGACAACGGAACACTGATAGACTGCCATCTTGGAAATCCTCTCCAAAGAGACGCTGAGGTGAGAGGCATTGCTTGGTTCCCCTCATAGCTGTCAACATTTCCTAAAAACATTTTTCTATTCCTCTCATATTTGCCATTCAGGTTACCTTTCACATCATGCTAACAACATCTGGTATCACACTGAATACGAATATGGTCAATGTCACCCTGCAACTTAAAACGTATGTTGGTTTAACGGGTGGACTTCAGAGCCCTATGCTGTTCTTTGGTAATCAATAGAATAATTTTGTCATTTCTATGGCGCAGAACAAGCATACAGACGATACCGCCGGTCGAGGCATTGGCCAAAGTGGTTTTTGAGCTGGAGCTGCAAGTTTATGGGTGAGTCCACTAAGCAGCTGTTTATTGCGTTTGTGTTTTCTAATAAAAAACAATACAAATAGAAATAAATTGATTCGTGGAGAAAATCAGGCTGTTATCTTTTCCACATCAGGCAACTAAGCCCATCCCAAGTCTCACTCAGTGATATTGTGAAGGGGGAAAGTGGCATCAAGTCAATAGAGGAAATTGGCCCATCAGTTCAGTATGAATTCAGGGTGTGTTAACATCTGTATGCAATTCCAATGATCTGCTTTGCTACTCATGTTCTAACTACACCCTGTTTTTAGCAGATTACAAACCTAGGCAGGCCACTAAATTCTTTTGCAAATGCATCCCTCAACATTAATTGGCCAAAGGAGAACTCGGTGGGAAAATGGCTGCTGTACTTAGTTCACATAAGCAGTGAGGGAGTTCATGCTGTCCCTTGTAGCAGTGCTGATGAGATCAATCCACTCAAACCAGTAAAGGTAAAAAATAAAATAATTTTTCATACTTTAAGTTAAATCCAAGGACATACTGAATGTAAAATCTTTTTATGTTTGCTAATAAGGGTTGGGATGCTCCACCAAGGCAAAGACGTGAAGCAGAACTTGATGCTTTGTCAACTGATGGGCTTTCATTTCTTCCATTAAGAAGAAAATATAAAACTTTGGTGAGAAAAGATATCTGTTCTTCAGCTGTTAAGTATAATAACGAAATTAATCACTGCTATTTTCCCAAAAATAAGGAACACCTCTGTTTGTTTCAGTCATGCTCAGATGGGCTGAGATGTGTTCAGATCCACTGCCCCCTGCTAAGTCTAGACACTACTGCACGTATCGTCCTTCACTCTCGCCTTTGGAATGCAACTATGGCTGAGGTTCTTTTATTTAACAACTTTAACCAAACCATGTTATACAGAACAATATATGCTTGTATAAGTTATTTTTAAGAAGCATGAAAACAACACTGTAAGCTTTCTGTTAGGTGGGGATCTGCTAATTTAACAGTTTTTAAACTAACCTTTTAGCTATATGCATGAACACTTTCCAGTTATGCTTTTAAAACAGGTAATGAGGTTTTTCACTATGTCCACCCGTTGTAGTATTTAGTTATGGATTAGATTCTATTCCATAGGTCACAGGTAAAAAATATGAGATTTAGTGTGTGAACAATTCAAATTAATGCCTTGTTTTATTTTTGTTATTGGTTCAATTTGTTCATCAGTACTGTTTGCTTAGTCTTGTTTTCCCTCTCCTTCTTTAGGATTACAGCTCCTTTAATTACATCAGTATTGTTGTGGAAGCGTATCTAAGCCTAAGTAGATCCTTCGAGAATATTGGACTGAAACCAAAAAAAACATTTACTCGGGTAAGCATGTGTTTCACATCAAGGCAATTTAGATAAATTCCCATCAGATGACTTTTTACTAGTGTTGCACCAATACCAGTATTGGGCAGGGCCCCGATCCAGGACTAAAATGGTGGTATCAGTATTGGCAAGTACAAACAATTAGGCACTGATACCATTTGAGACCCAAAAGTTTATTCAACTATTGTCCCCTATTCCAGGTAGAGAAAGAAAAAGTTCTACTCGATTCATTTTGTATTAGTCTTTTTTTTCCTGCTTCACAAAGGTGGGCAGCAGCTTGATGGCAATTATTTTACATCCTAGTAGTATGCAGCTCACGTATCAGTGTCGGGTCCAAAAAATGGCATCGGTGCAACATTACTTTTTACAATAAAAAAACTAATTACAAAAGCATTAGTGACATTATTTTAATGTTATCTTCAGGTAAAGCTGACAGTGTTCCCTGTGAGAAAAGTTGAAATCTTGACCAAAGTTGCCTGGTGGATCATCCTTCTGACCATCCTGTCCCTGCTGCTGTGTTTGGTTTTTATTGGCTACTTATTATGGAAGGTAAGAGCTGATAAAAAAATAAAGAAATGAAGCGAATTTGTGACCACTAGTTTTAGAAAATCTATTTAAACCTTTTTTGCGTGTTTTAATTGTTTCATTGTTAATTTCACCAATTCAGTACTGTTCATTTACTAAAATGCCTTTCAACCATTGAAAGTTTTTTTTTTTTCAAATGCCTATGCTAAAACTTACTTAGAGTAACCACTATGCAAAACTACCAGTTATTATAATAATAAAACCAGCTATTCACTAAATTTTGGGCAGCATATTGTAATTTTATGAAAAGTTATTTAAATATAGACGTATTTAATGAACTTTTGATTGTCATCAGTATAGATAAAAGCAGGTTTTCAATTTAGGAGGTGACCAAAGTGACCAAGGGTGACCAAAGTGCAGACCCTCAGCCTTTCCTTTCCTTTATCAATGATTTTGTCTGGCCTGTGCACATAATTGAAAAATAAAACAAAGTTGGCGTGTCTACACAAGGGGCTAATGGGAAAGGGCAATTATATTATTATTTTTTTAATCACCCATATTTTTTTTTTTAAGTTTAAAAATCAGCACCACCATAAATACACTGTTTGTGTTCCTAAAAATGTACCAAATAAAACTCTAGACGAGGACAAAAACAACTAGCCACCAAAACTTGTGAAAATTGATTGATTGGCAACATTTGTTTGATATAAAGACACATTTTTCTGTAAAACTAAGTAACTTGTGTGTTGTTAAAATACTGCATGATTAGCTTATTGTAGAATGGGCAAAAATGTAATTTCAATATTTTTGCATATTCATTTTTTTTCCTCCAATATAAAAACTGTGATCATTTTGTCTTCTTTTTTGTAGCGGGACTGCATCCACAGCCTTGCCCATAAAAAGCAGTCGCATGTTCAAGATCTGAAAGCAGAGTTGGCTCCTCTCCAAGGTTAAAGTAAATGTCTCAAAAGTTAGATGATAATGGATAATGTTATAATTGTTTTCTGATTTCTGCTCTTCTTTTGCATCCTTTAGTATGCAACACAAATAAAAAAATGTGAAACCTTAACGTAAGCATTGTATTGACTCTTGATGTATCAAGAATATTAAAACTCAGCTGTTCCTTCAGCTATTTTTATGGAATAAAAAACAGAAAACTTTTTCCTTCAGGCTTTTATTGAAGCTGAAAATATCACCAGGTTGATAACAAAACAAAACAAACCACAACATGAAATTTGTGTTGCACTTTCACCTTGACAGGAATTGTTGCAGAAGTTATCTGAGAAACAATGAAGGACTTTCCCGAAGTTTAACACATACAAAGAAAGCTGCCGCTCAGTTACCTGGCTGCTTATCATCAAAAGCACATCATTAAAACGCATTTATCCACATGTTTAATGGAACAGCGTGTGGCGAAATGCCCACTGCTTTATCTGGAAGGCTTTACTCCAAGCTGACATTTACTTCTAATTTGCTGGGAGAGGATACAAAAATGTGATTTTCCTGTTCTGTAACAGAAGTGTCTATTTGCAGCATTTATACATTCATTTAAATGTTCAGTCGCTCCATACTCTCTCAAAAAGTCCAACCAAATGTTTACTTAAATTAACGGCTAATGATTGGCTTTACCTCAAAATAAAACATACAATTTCTTTCCACCAAATTAAAATCCTGTTCATCATTTAGAAAAACTGTTCATACACATTTTTTACGAAATACCTGACCCCTGCTAAGAAAATCTTCAGCAAATTAACATTTACATCCATTACATGTAATGCTTCCTTTGATACCAAAGCAATACATCAAGATAAAAAAAAAATATGTTTCAATAAGTTAAGAGTTTTTATTAATAGTGTCAAAGTCTGTATTTCTAAATGTCATTTAGGCTTGATCTCTTTAACACACTGCTTTTAGTTTTTATTTAGGTAACTGAAAGTTACAGTAGAGTGATGGTTCTATATTGTGATCATCATATGCTTTAAGAAGAAAATAGAAAAGGGTTGCATTAAAATGACCCTTAGAGATCAAACCTGAAAACAGTAGATAGTTTGAAAAGTCAGAAAAACTCCCACAAAAACACTCCCCTTCATTTGGGTCAGATTAAACCAAAATTATTATGGTAACTATATTCTAAGACCATGAAAGCTCAATTCATGTTGACTTTTCTTTTTTTTTTCCCCACAAAAATTAGACAAACATGTTTTACAAAAACTAAAAACACAAACATTGCTTTTAAACTCAGATATAAACAATATTTTACAATTAAATAAAAAGCAGGTTTAACACTTTACATTCAAAATCAGTCCATTGTTTGGTTTTCAAGGTGATGTGTTTGTGTTTATTTGTACTATCTAGTTGAACAAGTTCATTAAAGCCATCTGTCAGACACACCAAAAAAATTAGTAAGCTCAATGTCAAACTAAGGAAGAAAAGCAGCAGATAGATGTCCTTAGTTTGACTCATCTTTTTGCCAAAACACAGTTAATTAATGACATCCCTAATCTCTACATCACAGACGTGACTATCCACTGTCTCAAACACGCAAAAAAAAAAGGTGCTAATTCACTTGACATGAAACAATAAAAAAAATATTTTGACTTTCAGTAAAAAATACACAATTCAGCATCAAACTCCAACAGGTCAAAATCTCACAAATGGCACTTGAAACATAGTTTAACTTTTTTCTCTTTGCCTCAAAATTGGGGAAAGTTTACCTTTGTTGATTGGGGGGAAATATTTCCTTTTTTATTTATTTTGTGCGGTTTAAATTATTGCTAATTTAGCCTGGTTTTGTTCTTTTTTTTTTACTGGTGTACCCAAATGGAATGGCTTTAGTAATTCTTCAGAATGTGCTTAAAACGGCAGCATAGCAAACACCTCTCTATAAAACCACCAGATTGTAACAGCCAGCTATCTCCACAAGAGGGCGACATAGATCACAAACTGAGAGGACAACAAGGGAAGAAGGCCGGAGGTGTGCAGCTTGGCAGAGGATCGCACGCGGCCGTGGCCATTGTTTCTGCTCCACTTGGACCCGTTTTTCTCGCGGCCTCGTGGAGGCTTGGCCGGGTTGGAGACGGGGTTATGTGGAGGTTTGCTGTATGGAGGAGAGTATGGGCCATAACCCGGCCAATCATCACTGTACCTCTCACCCTGATCTCCACCCCCTGAGCCACTGCCATCCTCACCTAAAACAAGGAAATAAAAACATGCAATCATGTTTTATCAATAAAACAAACCATTTCTTAGTAATTCTGGATATTGATATGTACCAGAATGCATACAGACTTGATTTTATTAACAACAGTACCCCTTGCATTAATTAAGCAACATAAATACTATTTGATGTTACAACCTGAATCATGAAATTATTACTTTAGATTTTAGATGACAGATTAAAAATGTGCACAACTTGGAAGCGCAAGGAAAAGGAAACATGCTTTTAATTTTGTTTAAAAATAAAGAATGTGATGCAAGAAAACGATTATGAGCTCTGCAAGTTTGGATTTTTATAAAGTGAGAAGAAAGCCTCTGGTTCTATTAATTTTACTGAGGAAAATTCAAGGTCACATCAAATGTGAAAGTAGAAAGGACTGAACTTTCTGTTCAATGCACAAAAAGCAGCATGTTTAAAAAAAACTAGAGCAGCACATTATCCTGGAAAAACAGCATTATTCTAAAAAAGAAAAAAAAATTGACATGGCAGCGCTGTTAATGAGAAGATGGATGGAACTAAATACAGACGTATCTGTTAGAAGCTGTAAAATCATTAAATACTGCCTTCCAGCAGCATATTACTAAATTGAAAGGCACAGATCTATATGGTTTCTATATGTTCAAACCTGTTGATCTGATACACAAACTTCCAATGTAGTGCACTCAATGTTTGAGCTGCAGTGTGATTAAAATGCTGAATGCTGCAAGGTAGTTTATAACTGAACCCACTGTCTATGAAGTTCATGTCCTGTCCGCGTTCAGCATGCTTCAGTTTGTTGGTCATGACCCTCAGATCCATGATCAGCTGTTTGGTCTTCACATCTGGACGGGAAATGTCCACTTCCACCTCTGGGTTGTTTATTTGGCTGGTGAGCCCGTCGCCGGTAACATCCGGGAGGTACCTGGACACAAAGAATCATATACATCTCAAAGCTCTTTAGTCAGCTGAAGGACTGCCATTATAAATGAAAGAAAATTTAAAAGTTTGATAACTGTGACTGGCTGCTCAGTGATGCAGTGGGTAGCACCATCGCCTTGCCTTTTGTCAGCTATTAAAACTAAATGCACTAAACTCCACTCTTGGAGAATTTTACATCAAAGCAGTTCCAGTTTAGACTACCACTGGTGATAAAAAGGGACTGTTATGTGGTTTTATTTTATTCTTTTAAGCAAAGAATGGTTTTGGTGGAAGAAAACCACTGAGCCATCTGAATGCCACATCATTAAGCAACTTAAAATGTCAGTTTAGTGAAATGTTAGGTGCATTTTTGTATTGTTTGGATCCCAATAAAGCTCATGTTTGGAGAGAGACTCAGACCAGTTTAATGCTCAATAATTAATCCATATGTTCTGCAAAGCAGACAAATAAATAACTAACTTAATTGGAAAAATAAGTCCCACTTCCCAGCCACATCATCCAGCATTTGGTATGCTGAGGTGAGTGAATCTTCGTCAGTGCTCATACAGGGTGGCATGAAATACACTTACATCAGGATCAGGCCATTTACATTATGCTCATGTGTTGCACATAATTGAAAAAATCCATCTCCGGCAGCCTGAGATGAAAATACTTTCTCATAATATTCAGATCTGTAGAAAAGGGGGGACTGGAGTATTGTTTACTGAAAACAACATTTCTTGGATCTTCATTAAAGCTCAGGGCAGATATATGCAGTAGTCTAACAGCTGTTTAGAAAAATCTAATCAAATACCAACAAACAGGCAGCTGACAGACCGGGATGTTCGAAAAATGCAAACATTTGCAAAAAACTCATAAGATTGACGACATGTGAACTAAAAAAAAAAAAAGAGAGAGAGAGAGAACTGAGACCACTGCTCTGACAAGTTCGGACTGAGCTTGGATCAGTTAACCGTGCGGACCTCGGTTCCTTGAGACCCCTTACACATCACGCTATCACGGTTCCTCGCCTCTAGGTGACGATCTATGGTACTACTGCTCTCTAGAGGACAACAAGCAAATCAACATGGCGGCGCCCGTAACATTCAGGTAGTTTGGTTATAAATGTGATTTGGTTTGGTTATGATACCGTGCTCGGCCCAATCTTGGCACGGTTTCAAAAAGGTAGCATAAATGGAGCTGTTGTTTGGCATGTAAATTTTTAGGGTCATCTGAAACATTTGGCTGAACAAAGAAGCATAAACAGAAGTAAGAACATAAATAAGTAAATATAAAAGCTAGGTTTTCTCATGCTTGAATAAAAAGCAACACCAGGTGATCTGGCTGCTTGTCCAGGTTCTGATTAAAGGGGCTAATTTTGATGTATTCTTACTCTCTTTGTTGCTAAATGAAGCTGTATGAATACAGACGGTATTTTCTTCTTTCTTCTTCTCAGAAACTGAACTAAATGTCTTATAAAGTCAAACCTGCTACCTAGGCTGAATCTGTGGGCATAAAACCAGGCTGCCTGCAGAGAGCATGTGGGTGACTGGTGCAGGCTAAATAAAATACAGGTGCTGGTCATAAAATTAGAATATCATGAAAAAGTAGATTGATTTCAGTAATTCCATTTAAAAAGTGAAACTTGTATATTATATTCATACATTACATACAAACTCATATATTTCAGATGTTTATTTTGTTTAATTTTGATGATTACAAATGACAACAAATGAAAATCTCAAATTCATCATATCAGAAAATTAGAATATTACTGAAGACCAATAAAAACAAAGGATTTATAGAAATGTTGGCCAACTGAAAAGTATGAACATGAAAAGTATGAGCATGTACAGCACTCAGTATTTAGTTGGGCCTCCTTTGGCCTGTATTACTGCAGCAATGCGGCGTGGCATGGAGTCGATCAGTCTGTGGCACTGCTCAGGTGTTATGATAGCCCAGGTTGCTCTAATAGTGGCTTTTAGCTCTTCTGAATTGTTGGGTCTGGTGTATTGCATCTTCTTCTTCACAATACCCCATAGATTTTCTATGGGGTTAAGGTCAGGAGAGTTTGCTGGCCAATTAAGAACAGGGATACCATGGTCCTTCAACCAGGTACTGGTAGCTTTGGCACTGTGTGCAGGTGCCAAGTCCTGTTGGAAAATGAAATCTGCATCTCCAAAAAGTTGGTCAGCTGCAGGAAGCATGAAGTGCTCTAAAACTTCCTGGTATGTGGCTGCGTTGACCCTGGACCTCAGAAAACACAATGGACCAACACCAGCAGATGACATGGCACCCCAAACCATCACTGACTGTGGAAACTTTACACTGGACTTCAAGCAACGTGGATGAAGTGCCTCTCTTCTTTTCCTCCAGACTCTGGGACCTTGATTTCCAAAGGAAATGCAAAATTTACTTTCATCAGAGAACATGACTTTGGACCACTCACCAGCAGTCCAGTCCTGTTTCTCTTTAGCCCAGGCAAGACGCTTCTGACGCTGTCTGTGGTTCAAGAGTGGCTTGACACAAGGAATGCGACAGCAGAAACCCATGTCTTTCATACGTCTGTGTGTGGTGGTTCTTGAAGCACTCACTCCAGCTGCAGTCCACTCTTTGTGAATCTCCCCCACATTTTTGAAGGGGTTTTGTTTCACAATCCTCTCCAGGGTGCGGTTATCTCTCTTGCTTGTACACTTTTTTCGACCACATCTTTTCCTTCCCTTCGCCTCTCTATTAATGTGCTTGGACACTGAGCTCTGTGAACAGCCAGCCTCTTTAGCGATGACCTTTTGTGTCTTGCCCTCCTTGTGCAAGGTGTCGATGGTCGTCTTTTGGACAACTGTCAAGTCAGCAGTCTTCCCCATGATTGTGTAGCCTATAGAACTAGACTGAAAGACCATTTAAAGGCTTTTGCAGGTGGTTTGAGTTAATTAGCTGATTAGAGTGTGGCACCAGGGGCCATCAATTTTGAACCTTTTCACAATATTCTAATTTTCTGATATGATGAATTTGAGATTTTCATTTGTTGTCATTTGTAATCATCAAAATTAAACAAAATAAACATCTGAAATATATGAGTTTGTATGTAATGTATGAATATAATATACAAGTTTCACTTTTTAAATGGAATTACTGAAATCAATCTACTTTTTCATGATATTCTAATTTTATGACCAGCACCTGTACATTCTCTTCCATCTGTTGCACCTCTCCACCTCTGCGCCGATATTCCCTCGCTCTTCTCTCTTCTCCTTTGCCTATTTCTGAAAGCCTCCCTGACCACCCCACCTTCATCACCTCCAGTCGCTTTCCTCTGATCTGGCTCACCTCCCCCGGGTCTGCCCGTTCCAGCAGCGGTCCTCATTAGTGACGTCGGCCGCCATCCTCTCATCGTTGCAGATGGTGTGTGGGAGAGACACCCAGAAGCCTCGCATGGGCCTCAGTCGCTCCTTCAGCTCAGTAACCTTTGTGGAGGTGGGAGGAAACTGGGAATGATTCAGACTCGTTTTTGAAGCATCATTCTTTGTTCAGCTGGCTGGACAAACCATGTTAGGTACTGATGGTGGGCAATGTGAAAAGCAGACCTGGCACTGTTTCTGATTAGACCACACAGGCGTTCTTGGAGCTCTATTCAATATACTAACACTTCAGTCCTGGTCCTCCTCTTGTACATCTTTTTGTTTGAGCCCTTCTGTTCTGAGGATCAGTATGTTTCCAAAGAAACACATTTATCTTATTTTCCCTTTTTTTAAATGTACTATTTGTATTTATTACTAATATAATATCCTTTTTTTTCTAGATAAAGCGTTGATTATTGTAGTTTTACTTATGAACAAATGTGCAGTACATTACATTTACATTGAACTTTAGGTGTCTATACAACCATGAACTATAATCCACTTCATGGGGTGTTTATGAGAAAGAAAAAAAAAAACATTTGTGTATAATAAGGATTAATAATGTTTTTTTTTATCATTCTATTTGCTCATTAATTTTTCAAAGAGACAATTAAGGCATGAAGCTATACTGAGATTAAATTACACACAGGTGGACTAACTACGTGAGAAGTGAAGGCATTTCACATCTTGCCAAATGCTTTCAACAGTTTGGAACCAATCGGACCACTATGGATGTGATGCATCTTTAAAAATAAAAAGAAGTTCTTCCACTAACCTGTTGATGAATTTTCAATGACATAAACGGCTCTTTAAGGACGTAATAAAGGGCATAGGTGAGACATTGTCCCATTGTGGCTGCAATTTTGACTATTATGGCTACAGATAAGCGCAGTTGCATTATGAGCCCGCCTCCTTTGCTGTGATTGGCCCAGCCTGTTTTACACCAGAGAGTATTGAGCCTTACCAAACTGACTTATATGCTGTCAGTCAGTCTGATTTGATACAAGGGTTTAATTGGGATATATTAGACTTGAAAGACCTAAAAATCTGAACACAGCAATGATATGTTTATATGTAGAAAATATTGCAAACTAAATTTTTCTTTTGTTTGTGTACACTAATACTAAGTGCCATTTTTTTGTGTTTTGGTGACGGCCATTAAATCCTGTCAAATTTGTGGTTTTAATGTTAAAAAATATGAAAAAGTTCAAGGTGCATAAAGTGAAGCTGCTGTTTCTGATTTCCTTGTTTCATAACCCAACATAAGTGTGACTAAATAATGCTAAATAAACATAAACAACAACAGGTTTTTGCTCCAACCCAACAGGTTTTTTGCATTCTGAGCATATTGGCTAAATCCAGTGTATATTGGTTAGATCTGCTGCTTGAATATAGCAATAGTTTAGTCTCTGCTTCATTCCTTTTTTTCCCACCCACCAGCCGGTCCAAGTTGGTGCCTGCAGCTGTGGTTGGTTTCTCCTCGGGGGTGTAGGTGCGGAAGGGCTTCCTGTTGCCCCCTGACTCATTGGGTGAACGCTTGTTCCGTGCTGGAGCTGGTCGGGGATTTCCACAACCTTGGAACACCTTAAAGAAATAATGAAATGATCAGAATACATGCACATACAATGAGTTTTTTTTATTTCCTTCTTCTGCAAGGCCATGTAATACAATTCCTATATTTAGGCCTTTACAATGCATTGCTTGGTTGCTCAGGCTAACACAGTCCCTTAACTCAAGCTTTTTACTTACATTCATTTACATTACACACCAGCAGAGAAGGCAACCCAACTCCTGCTGAGGGGAAGCTTTTTACTGGTTGAAAATTTGAAAAACTGTGTGGGCTCTGACTTTCCCAAAGTATCATTTAATCAAAATGCAACATCAGTCCTTGAAGTTCACCCACATACAACAAATAAGAGAAAAAAAAAACGTTGATCTTTTTTGAAAATAAAGAAGACCCTGAAGTTTCAGTCATGTCTTGGCATTTAAGCAAACATAATTTTATATTAATATGCATAACAACAGCTGTTACTTTAAACCTAGCAAAATTATTAGGTGACATAATTTATGCAAGGAAGGAGAGGATATTGACATATCTTAAAATATTGTTGCCTTCTGCCGAATCTGAACCAGAAATGAGGCTGAGGCTGTATTTTTCTGTTCAAACGGGTTGATCATAGACTCCATTTTGAAATTAGCAGAGAGCAATAATCATTGCATTAAACTTCATTTGGGATCCAAACCCAATAAGTTTTGAGGACACAGAAACTCTTCCCCCAAACACCGGACGTCATTTAGATGTTGGGTTTTAGGCTAAATCTTGTCTGTCCTTCATAGTCTTTATTTAGTCCAAAAATAGTTGTAGAAACTTGGGCTTTGTTTGGTTGGTCTGATTTAGCCCCACTTTAGTCCAATAATAGAGCTGATCTGGAAATTACCGCTTTTCACTTTTCAACCAAATTTACACGTAATTTGGACGTCAGTCATGTTTTCGACCAGTCTTTGCTCTGTGGGTGAGAAGTATTTAGCCCTATTTTCATTGCTCCAAGTTTTTTTTTTTCTTTCTAAAAACAAAAAAACAAAGAACAAGATTGCTGCCCAAAGTGGAGACAGCTGGAGATTTCACCTGGAGATTTCCCACTGAGCAAAAATTAGTTAAAAGACATTGAAAAGACGACATTATTTACATCCTAATCACGTCTACATTAGGTTGAAAAGTAAAAGGTGAAAAGCTGTTATTTTCAGATTGAGGTTGGAAAGACGTTGAAAACTTTATTGGACTAAAGTGGGACAAAATCAGAACAAACAAACACAGTCCAATTTTCAACAACTATTTTTTCGACTAAATAAGCTTATGACGGACCAGATTTAGCCTACCGGTAAAAACAAAACGTCAAAATCAATGTTTCCCAAACAGGGATACGCGGACGCATTCCAAGGGGTACATGAAAATATTTTATTTCACAAGTATTAAAATAAAATAGGGTTGGAATCTGTTTTGCATTGAATAGAAAATTAAACAAGCTTTTATCAACCAAAAAGTAAGTTATTCTTTGAGTTCCCCTGCAGCTTTGACACACATCTAAACCAAGCAGAGGAACAAACTGGATGCAGAGAACAGCCTGGTATCTGCTGTTTTTCAAACTGAGCTATCGGAGCATATTAAAGCAGCTCAGGTGTCTTGATGAAAACAAAGTAAAACTAATTAAGTCAGTGTTTTTTTTTTCCCAATTCATCAAGTTTAAATGTGATTATAAGGGAGTTACTCAGAGGAGCACAGTACAGGTTTATAATATCATTTTATTTTGCATTTATTTAGATTCCTTACTGAATTCCAGGCAACATATTTATGTGTTTTGTTCTGTTTTTTTAGATGGAAAAAATAAAATTGTAAAAATTAAATGCTCAAATTAAAAGATTAAGTAAAATTGTTTTTATTTCAGTTATTGCACATTCCACCTTTGGACAACCATAATTACTTTTGACCGGGAGTGGTACTCATGATAATACAAAATTCCCAAAGGGGAACACAAGGCAAAAAGGTTGGCAAACACTGGTTTAAATGACATCTGGTGTTTGCCAGGCCAGTACTGTACTTGCACATCTTTTTAGATATAGAAAGCAGTTTACAAATAAAAATGTACTGGTAAATTTCAATTTGTTGCTTACTTTATATTAATTATAATTAATTTGTTGGGGGGTAAGGAAGGCGTAACACTTGCTCACCACAGTTCTATGTTAATGCATCTATTCATGCAATCATCTGTCAGGTCTGTTTCTCCTTACCTTGCTGGAGATGCTCACACTGTTCTCCTGCATGTGCATGATGGCCTCCGACACTTTTACAGAAATAGAATCAGCTGCAAGCTCAAAGTTAAACGGCCCCTCCAGCTTCTCAGAGACCAGATAGAGAGCATCTGGAAGAGAGAGAGAGGGAAGTTCCCAATGACTCAACAGTGGGGTGTTCCAGTAAAATCATATAGCTTTAGGAGGTTTTTTGGTCAAACTGCAATCATATAAAGAGGAGGATAAAAAACAAGGTTGAGAGCAATGATATGGAATACCTAAAATGAATTGGAGTGGTTTTTAATACGAATCAAGGATGAGGGCTCATATATAGCTATGATGAAAGTGAAAGGGAAACGCAGCAGGACAGATCAGCTGAGCAGAGAGGCATGAATGATTAATGGAGGAATTTATTAGGGTGAAGAGAAAGGGGAAATAAATGAGTGTCAAGGGCAAAATAAAAGACTTCTAGCTTTTGGTCTGTCCACTATAATTATGTTAATGAATCGGAAAGCTGCTGGAAGTAATTTGACTGCTGACAGTTTCCATTGTAGGGACACTAAGTTGTGAAAGCTTAAGCTGAAATCCATAATCTGCCTCACCTAGAAACCTAAAATACAGCTGAGGTCAGAGTTCAGCGAACAGCCAGACGAGGCCTGAATGCTCACATGAATTCATCACGTCCAAGTAAATTTGCCAGCATTTGCAGTGGTATAGTAATTGAAAAACTTTGTAAGCAGAGCAGAGTTATTATTGGAGAGCTAAACCTCTGAAGATGCGTGTTCTAATCGAGAAGATACTAGACATCGACTGCAATCAGCCATCAATCCCAGCACACTGAAATTCATTTAAAAGAGGTTTTAAATCAACTTCTAAATGGTAATCAAACGATATCTTCTGTTAAAAAAAAGTTTCAAAAGAAATGCACACTTAAAAATTTATATCAAATGAAGTTGTAGGCTTTGGATGCCATTTTTTAATAAAATACAGCTGACATATGTTCTATTATAATCACTCTGGGGTACCCGCCCTCTGGCTCTTTACCATCTCATATCCTTACTTTGACTAATTAAACTGTAGTTTGTATTTTGAAAATGTTGAAGTGAAAAAAAAATGTTTTGCAAATTTATAAAAAGTAAAAGTGTACCCTGCCTTTCGGGCAATGGACTGCTGGAGATAAGCAGCAGCTTCATTGCAACCTGACAGATTAGGCGGGAGAAGATGGGTGGATGGAGATGGATAAAATAAACATGTTTTGTCATGATCTGCTGTAGCTGGCCTTAATTACTCATGCCTTTCACCTGCTTCACTCTTTCCAGCTCCTAATCATCACTCATCCCATCCACCTGCCAGTTTCCCTTATATTTGGCTCAGTTCCAGCTATCATGGCCAGATCATTAGATGTTGTTTTCTGTTCAGTCTTCTCAGTTCTGTTTATTCTAAGGTTCCTGTCCTGGATCCTGGCAGCCAGTGGAAAGGGGGTTTTGTGTCCTTCTCGTCTCCTGATTGTCCACTGCTCCTCCCCTGCTGAGTCCTATGGGTTTTTGGCTCTATACGCGGGGAGGTTCAGTTTTTATCCCAGTAAGCCTGGCTCCAAGGTGGAGACCAGTTTAAAGGTCCTGCATCAAGTTCTGGTTCCACGTCCTGTCTTGGCTACCCTTTTCCACTGAGCATGCTCATCTGCACCTGATCCTTTTTGCACGTGTGCTTGTCCACCTGGTCACACTTCTGGACTCCAAACCTGCCTGGGAGCTCTAGAATGTCTGGATCCTGCCTGTTCTGTCTGTTCTGAATCCCTGTCCAGGATCAGCTTCCTGTAAGTTCTCTGGGGCTGCTGCACCGGGGACACTCAGTGACGCATGCCGCATCTGCCTTCAGTCCAGCGGCCGGATTGCGCCCCTTTCCAGGGAGATAGACTGAACTGTTGAACCAGGTAAGTGACTCACTGAGATCATCTTCTGTCAGATGATCGTGGTCACTTACCTGTGTTTCTCCCACCAGAGTGTCTGAGATTGGGCGGTGCCCCGCCCCCCTCCTGCAGCAGCCGAGAGTCGCAGCTCCACTTTAGTGTCAGTTAGTTGTACGTTTTTATACTAATAAATGTTTTGAACTTTCCTACTGACTGTCTCACATTGAATACTGGGTCCATCTGTCCCGTTTTATGACAGTTTACATGAATATTCACACCATTTAGTATAATATCAAAACTTGGACTGTGGTTTCTCCAATCTCCATCTGTAGTCAGGTTATTTGACTGAACATGACTGTGGTGAACTAATCAATAGTAGATGTCATGGTTGGCCTTTTACACCAGAATGGAAACCAAGCAAAAGGTCAAAGGAAATGTCTGCAGACCGCCAACACTGGATGTGTGGAGGCCCAAATCTGGATACAGAAAACCACATGCCAGCGTTTATCATCCCAAAAAAACGTTGTGGTCTCTATTGGGGATGCAACACATTCTGGACTCAAGACCTTCCCTAGAAATGTTCGATTCGCAAAACTGAGGCTATTCTAAGGAGAAGGACCTTAATAAGAGAGGTGACCTCAACTCAGCATTCACTGAGAGGAAGCTCTGAATGATCCTTGTGGTGATAGAAGAACCATCCAAGAGGTCGGTGCCTTCCACCAATCAGATCGATGCAAGAGAGCAGCCTGTTAACATGTTCTAACACAAGCAGAACAGAGTTATGTGCTCTGACTAAACTAAAACAAATATTCTATCTTAATTCCAACCTACATGTCTTCAGAAAAAAAGCTATGCACAAAATATAGCTAATAGCATCGCTACTGTGTAGCATAGTGGTGAGACCACCGTGTTATGGGAATTATTTTCCACTGGGAGACTAATGTGCATGTGCATTCAACCCAAATGCGCTGGAGGTGATTAGCAGAGAAGAATATAGAACAAAATACCCTCAAAACTAATTTTAATGCTTACAGAGCAAAGTGTGTCATATACAAAAAATGTAGAATAACCCTGGATCCTTGAAATCCTCTTCAAAAATACATTTGGGGAAAAAAACACATGTACGGCGTATACCCACCTATGAAATTGTTCCACTCTGCCTCCAGCTCAGCCTGATTGGCCAAGCAGCCCTTCATCACGTTGAGGCACAGTGAGTGGCAAGGCCGCAGAAAAGGCAATCCTCTGCACAGGGGGCAGTACCACTGACGCATGAGGCCCCGCACACACTCTGAATCTGCTGTCAACTGGAACACGGAGCAGGGCAAAGACCGACAAAACAAACTGGATCAACAGAGCAAACTAAACACAATGAGCTGATTGACGCCTCCAAAGGGAGACTCGCCTCAGAAACAAACTTTAATATAAATCAGTTTTCAGTCAGACAGCAACAGCTGGGGATGTAAGTTCGTTTTCTGCAGTTATTTACCTTTAATTCTGATTTTATCACTAGATTTTTTTTCTGTATTACATATTGGATTTCCTCTATATTTTACAAATTATTGTTTGTCTAGATCAGTGGTTTCTTGTTAACCATCACAATCATAATGAGTGACTAAAACGTCATTGTTCTTAGAGTTTAATATCCCTTTATAACTGTAGTGCTTACTTTCCTTTTTCATTGACAAGGAATAATGATCACTTCTTCTAGAATTTTAAATACAAATAGAAAAAAAAAGACTAAATTGTTTTTTTTTTTCTTTAGAAAGCCAATCTCTTTAATTGTAACACTGAAGGACGAAGCCCTTTCAGAAGGAGGTATAGTTAGAAATAAATGTTTTTCTCGATGCTATGATTGAGATTACATAATAAACTGCCACCGCATTTACCGGGGAAAAATAATCTGGGATTAAAAACGGAACCACTGACCTTTGTGGCAGTATTCACAAAATCCCGTCCAAAAGCCAGGCCCTGAGATAAAGTTCTGGCAGCTATGAAAGCTCTGGACACCTGAAAGCAAACAAAATATCATCAAATCAAACAAATAAGTGCCCAATATTTACTTTTTTTTATTTTACAGTTCTGATATTTTGGGCTTTATAGTTACTTTGTACACACACCTGCACTCGAAGTTTGCGAGGCACGTCTCCAAAGGGCTGCAGCTGCTCAGCGTGTTTGCTGACACATTCCAGGTAATCGTCGCTGAACTGATACTGGGGGTTGACCAGTGAGAAGACTCGCTCCACCACTCCGGACCAGAAGTCTGAGAAGACCTCTGTCAGACTCACGCTACCCCCTGAGGATACAAAGGGTAACAAAAACAAATAAATAATGGAAAATATCAGATTAAAAATTCACAAACTAGGGAATATTTTATTAAATGTTTGGCTTTTCTTATTCGTACTTTTGCTTTTCTTCTCCAGTCTGTCTATTAAAAGGTTATACCTTTGTAGTTACCTATTCTCTTTTCTGATGAACTACACATTAAACAACTTTGAGAATAAGTTATATAACTTCGTTGAGGAGTCACATTAATCCACTGCCAGCAAATAGTGACTGAATTAAGACGTTAATGACAAACTGAATTAATTCTAATGCATTTAAAAAGACTTAACAAAATGTTGTTCTTGTGCAAAACCATGCAAAATATAATTTAGACAGAGCTCATTATATGAGAAATATTAAATCATTGTAAATATTTGTTGTTTTTGTATACAGACTATAATATGGCATGACATGCGGTCTGCTTGGGACACTCGTCGGTATCCTCACAGAATGAGTCTGCGGCTGTGGCTGTACAATCTGCAGTCGGGAGCCTCAAATGAGCCAAACACGCTGCTTGGCAAACACAGACAGGTTGACTAAGCAAGCGACAGCCTGCAGACGGACTCGCCAGCTAACGGCTGTCGTGCCAAAACAGAGCGATACGGCCCAGAATTAGAAACAGTCTGGCATCTGTGGGAATCCAATTTTCCTCCCTTTCTTTTCCTCCCCATTCCACTTGGCATACCAGCACTCCTCAAAAATATTTGAAAAACCTGGTTCTTTACTGCTGCTTACTGAGTCTGAAGATTTAATAAAGCATCAGAATTATTTCTCTGAATATTGCTCCTGCTATCTTTAGCATGTCTGTTTGTTTTGTGTTTTTAAGATAATTTCCCAGGATGTTGTGAATATATCAGACTGAGGGTGATCAAACCAACCGGAATAATATCTCCGAAGCTCCAGGAACAGCTCCTGGAAGATGTGTGTGTTCTGGGTGAAGAGCCGGCCATAGGTCTTGGTAAACATCTGGTTCATAGACTTCTCAGAAAGGTCTATAAGCTCTCTGAAGAACTCTGCACAGACAAAGGAGGATTAAATATGATGAAACTCTCATTTCCCTTTTATTATACTACATTATAGTTATGTTTCTGTGTAGGCGGTCTATCACACCCTCTCTCTGCCACAGGATTATCAGCTTACAGGGACATCAGATCCTGCACTGCAGTAAATAACAGAGCGTACTCTATTAAAAACCTGCCTTCAAGACTCATATCCAGTCTCCCACTTCTTGAGCTTCTTGATATGACTCATCAGACATTATATAAAAGTATGAAGGTTTAAAAAAAAAAAAAAAAAGGTGATAGCAGTCGATGTCAGGTAGGAGGAGAAGTGTAAATTCAGCTGGTGAGCAGAAACCTGCCGCATTGAAATATGAATCCATGGCTACATTCTCCTTAATGTAGGAACTCATTAGAGCTGTTTCCAGATGTCTAAAGGGGATAATTAACAAATTTCACTCATGAGGGTCGGTTTATAGGACGTGGTTGGGAGTTTTCAGAAGGAAGTTGGCTGGTTAACACGTGTCCTGGTGAGGTCATTGCGGTTCACTAAAAAGAATTTTCCATTTACAAGAGAAAAACTGCAATGGGGGTGGAAAAAAAGGATTTTTATTAGATGTAATAAGAGATGGTCAGAACCCAAACTGTGCTGATTAGAGTCCTGATAGGTATATAGCTCACATGTAGTGATTTAATAGGGATCTGTTTGTTCTTTAAATGAATTTTAAAATCCAGTTAGGTTTTCATGGAAAGGGTTTTCTAGATAACCTTTATTGTATATATATATATGGAGCTAGATCGGTCTCAATATTCACAAATACACATATGTGATTCATACATGCACAGGACAAGATCCACACATGCATAGCATGATTCACAAAAGCACAAAATAAAAATCCACACACACAAAGGACAAAGGTATTTCTGGTCCATAAACAATCATAAATTAAATACAAAGTATCAGTGATCTTTAAACTTCTTTGCATTTGTGTGTGGATTTTTGAGACTCCCTTGACGTGCCTCGATACACAAATGCATTTTCTTAAACAGGGGATGGTTTGCCACCAATCATAAAGCTCCCACGTGGGGATGAATTAAACCCTAAATTCCACATACTCCCCTCTGCTCCGATCTAGACCGATCTCCATATATATAAAGTAATTAAAGGGAATTTAAAAAATATGTTCTTAAAGGACTGTACAACCCGTCAAAGATACAAATAAATATATAATTAAATACATCAGATTTCAACAAATACACCCAAGTTATTTAGACAAACTCAGCTTCACACTTAACACAACACAGTCAAATTCAGTTAATCACAGTGCAGTTTTTCAAGTAAGGTAGGCCAAATGTTAGTTTTAACTATTGCTTTGTCAATAATCCTTTATCCAATGCAAGCATGTAGCAACAGTGGAGAGGAGTCCTCCTTTAAAGAGGAAAAAGACTCCAGTAGAACAGGGCCTGGTGTGATTGGCCTTCTGCCACAACTGACTCCTGGTTCGGACGACAAACCACGCAAGAACTGCAACAACAGATAAGATTAACGCTTCTCTGTAGCCCTACCCATGAAAATGTTGGACAAACAAGCTGGTCTTTCCTTTTCAAAATGAAGTGGTAGATGCTCACTTTTTATTTACCGTATATCTAACCTGCTAATTTCTTTTTTTTTTTCTTTTTAACTCTAATAACCAAAATATGCAAAAGCAAAAAAAAAAATCTCAATGTATACAACTTTAAATGTCAATATACATCACACTAGTGTTTGCTCTATTACTGTTTTGCTGGTATTGTAGTCTATGATGGTATGACGCAAATAGAAATAAAACAATCAAAGTTAATTTTAATTTTTCCTGGTTTATGCTGATACAAAACACAAAACCTTGGGATTGGTAATATAATGGTGATGAAAAAATGAAAGAAATGCAAGTTTGGATTGGGTTAAATGCAGAGGTACATTTTTTTGGATGTAAGATCAATAAAGTTCAATTATTATTATAATTTCTTATTTTATGCACATTTCTAATAGAATAATTAACAGGATAACAAATGTGTATCTATGCAATCATTGGAGTATTAATTGTATTTGATAACAGAGATATTTTTAAATAATTGAATAGAAGAATAGCTCCTGACCATTTGTTTCCAAAGAAGTCCCAAAAACAAAAAAACACTGGGACAATAGTTTTCCTTCAATCTATCATAAAAGAAACATTTATTGTATTATATTAAATTAAATAATGTTATATTATCCTCTCACCATCAAACCGACGGTGTCTCTGAGTAAAGGTGGTCAAGAGGAACTGGCTGATGTCTTCGATGGCTTTCAGAAAGTCCCTCTCGCTCTGCAGGGACAGCGTCTCCTCCATCTGAGTAGAGCAGCAGGTATAATCCTGAGGACAAAGTCGTAGGTGCTCACCTGTACCAAAGACATCAGGATAAACCATAACATTATCACACTATTAGAGAATTATATGTTTTAACTTTACAACCAGCCAGGTCATTATACTAAAGTAGAAATGCATTATATATAATGACCTGGCTGGTTTTGGGAGGGCGTTTTTGGGGGGAAAACTAAACTCTACTATAAATGTATAGGTTCATTTAATAGGAGAATCTAATTAAAGATAACACTGGGGAAGGAAATTGCAATTTATCTGCATGAATTATTCAAAGTCAATTTTCTCTCTTTGTCAGCTGAGGCCTGCTTGTCTTTCTTCAGGTGTGAAAGCAAGAACAAACCAGGAGGAGGCGAGGACAAAGCACAGTGATCAAAGCCTGGGGAAGCTTTAAATCTTTGGTTGATACGAATATTTGGTGGTTAATGCATTGGAAAGTGTCTTTTCCAACTCCTCCCTGTAGGGCATTCCTCTCCCTCTCTTTTGTTCTCTGTGTGTCTTCCCTTCAGCCCATTCTCATTCCTGTATTTCCATTTCTAAACTGCCTCTCTCTCTCCCAGCCATCTGCTCCCCTGGGCCACGGGACAGCCAGCAAAGGCTCAGGCGGTGATAGCCCAGCACACAAAAATCAATCAATTCAGCAGTTGCCTCACACACCAAGTTCATTTGCCATGAAATAAATACCCTGCAAGCAAACATTTTTTTTTACCCTTAATTAATCATAGAAGCACTTTAATGTCTGCGTGGGAGTAAATCAAAGCAGTGATTTAGATGCATATATTTTTAAAATGCAGACCCCCATCATGTTTTTATTCAAATCTAAAAATAATCCCCTTGTATCTCTTTAACTACTTAATGCAATGTCCATAGCTGATTTCCTGTGATCCACATTAGACATATATCACTCCATGTGGATTATGAGCAGTGAACAGAGCCTGCATGCAGTGGGCCAGAGCAAAGACTAATTAGGGGCGAGGTTCTTTGTTGCACCGGTGTTGGCAATTTGCTCATCCCCTTAATCATCCCATTCAAACCAGCATTAGGGAGGAGGGGGCGGGTAGAAGTTGTTTTAAACAGCGTTGCTTTATCTCTTGAGGGAAACTCATCATGATCCTCTGATGCTCTTTATCTCTGTGAGTTTAGAACCAAAATATTGTCATACTTCCTTACAACTTGGGTTAATTTATTAGGTTTAGGGATCTCTCTCTCTCTCTTTTTCTATATATATGGAATCTAATAGTTGTATTTATTTAAAGGCAAACTAGATGCATCCTTATACTAGTGGGACTTACCGGAGATCTGAGTGACAGGAGCGGTGCTGGTGCTGTAGCCCTTCTCTGAGTACACCTGCCGGCTGTCAGCGCAGCTTCTCCCCGCTGTAGCCGCAGGACTCCGGTTCTCCGACAGCGCAGCGACGGCGCAGAGCCAAACCAACACCCGGGTGTCCATCCTCCTCATAGCGAGGCTCCAAGTAAAAAGAAGCACCCGATGGATGGACCGGTGATGGGGGGGAAAATGAAGGACGGACCCAGATAGATGCAAGCAAAAGTGTAAAAGATCCCAAATAACTAATCTAACACAGTTTTCATTGTGTTTCTAATTAACATCCGGTCTGGTTTTCTTTTTTTTTCTACATGTCTTGTGTTTCCATGGTGTCCTCCTTTATTTTCCTCCCTGGGATACCCGCCGCTGTGCGTAAACACAGAATGAATGAGGATCTCCCTGCTCTGCTTAACCATCCCCTATGACGCGCCATCGCTGTCAAACCCACGGAGTTTAAACACGGTGAAACCGGAAAAGGGATTCCCTTCAAAATAAATCCGGCTGGCTTCAGGCGTTACAGCGCCTGCTATCGGGGCAGGGGCGATCCTAGACTAATCAGGGTCGGAGCTAGATTGGGGGCCAGGGTTGGCCATGGCCACGCTTAGCCAATCATTGGCCACCCCTGTTGCCACCCTACCATTTTTTTCCTCTAATACAGACGGTGGCAGCAGTAATACTCTCAATTGGAATATTCACAGCATTAAAAATGTTTTATGGTTAATTATACACATCTATATACTAGCATCAAAGATGATAAATACAGAATTCATGCTCCTTACAGAACCAAATTGGGGTAAAGAGAAAAATATGTGTCTCCGCAAGTCATCTAGGAGTCTTCAGTGAAATCATAGATAAATAACTATTTTAATAAAAACTTATCAAATAATCAATTTATGCAGATATTAGTGCTTGTAAATATAAATTTTATGCAGAATGTTTATTGACACAAGTATGGCAATGGAAAAGATTTACGCCCCAGAACTCAAAATTGAAAGTTTTATCCACTATACCTTTTATCTAGAAATTACGGGTGTTTAAATATACGGGTCTATTTGTTAGCAAAGGCTGTATGAAAGTATAGTTTGTCTTTATTTAGAAAACGGATGTTTTGCTCGTTCATTTTTCTGTTGAAACAGTGTAGATTGACCATGAGGTTCTGGTGCCTATCCCCTTTCTGCCACCCCTCAGTGTACACTGGTTATTGCCTAGCCACCCTTATAAAGATTTTCTGGTTACGCCTCTGAATCTAATTAATCAAAAATAAAAAGTTAATAACCCAGCCATAGAATATCTAGTGCTGAAAAATAAAAGCATTAATTTACTGGAAAAAAGTGTGCAAATGTTTTTTTTTAATTCTTAAGCAGTGGCACGGGAAGGGGGGGGCTGCGGGGGCTGCAGCCTCCCTCGTCATAGCATCAGCCCCCCATGGTTGGGGCTGTGGAGTAACATAATATTGTACTTAAAAACATGAAATTATTTATGTATTTATTTGTTTAAAGACTGTGTTTGATATGGGATTAAAATGATGGGCTGTGTATAAGATATAAACTAATGATTCATTATTTTAATATTTCATAAAAAACTAGGCTACTCCCCCGGAAGCTTCCGCCACCTCACATTCGTTTAGGCATGGCTAGCAATAGGCAGCAGAAACGTATTTCTGACTATTTCGAGGTAAGAAATGGTTTTAATTCCCCTATACTGCCGCATTTAGCATTATTTATGTGCCTATTCATCTAAGTCCTGAGGCTGAAGAAGTCTACGCTAGAATAAGGCTGCATATCACTAAATTTTATGTCTGTATTAAGCTATTTAGTGACAAAATATGAAATTAGTTAATTTTTTTTTTTTGTGTGTGTGTTTTTTGTTTCAGATATGAAATCATTCCCCATATCCGTAGTCGAATGGACTTTCAAGACGTTCAATGCTCAGTTTAGGCTATATTTAGGCCATGTTTTATTCAAGTATTCCTGATCCTGTTGATTGGGAGCTGTTGTCTGTTTTGAATGATTAAAAGAGAAGAAATAAAGTTTAAAATGTTCATGCTTTGTTCCGATGCATTTTAAATGGCAGTTTTTGGCGACAAATGTAGGCCTACAATATTCGTTATATGTTAAAAACGTCAGCCACAGCCCTCAACATAATGACGTCATGTGTTTTCCAACCCAGCCATCAGCCCCCCTCGCTTGAAACAGCTTCCAGCGCGCCTGTTCTTAAGTGGTCCAAAATATATTATTTACCTTTGATTACATTACTAGAGCTAACCCAAAAAATTCTGCACCAATAGGATTAGTAGGTTAAAGTCATGTGACATAGATCCTGGTTGTCTCTGGATCCTTGTAACCCCACAACAGAGCTGTGAAATCTCTTCTCCACTGTAATATAATATATATATATAATTATTTTTTTTTTTATTATTCATTTTTTTTTCAGATTCAAGCTCCAAAAATGAGTCAAGTTAGGGTAAACATTGGTCAAGTTTTTTGTTGATCAGAAACTATACAGCAGCCAATCAGTTATGGTTTGTGTGCCAGCATGTCTCATAGGAAGATTCTACTTTCAATTTGAAACTACACTGTAATTTTTTTTTTTTATCTCATTAAACATCTGGCACAAGGGCTGTTCTAGGGGCCATGTAAAGGGCCAGGGCTAATTCTCCAGGGACACTCGCCCTTGTTGGCCATCTAGAACAGCGTAGTCTAAAATTGAAAGTAGAATGATACATGGTATTTTGAGGTAAGTTACTTCTTTGCACATCTAAAATTGTATTTATACATACTACAAGAAACAAAGCTTTGAAACGTTCCATTCTGTGTAAATAATCCATATGTCAATTTCTAAAATGACAAATGTTGAGCTTTTCTGCTGTATTCTAATTTAGTAAAAATTAGCCTTATGTTAAAAACAACAACATATTAGCTGATTTATATATATATATTTATATATATATATATATATATATATATATATAAATTACAACAGTTATCTCCGTCAGCAATCTTTTCCACATGAGGTGTGGATCTTTGCAGTTCCTCAAGTCGCAGTGTTTTTGATAGCTGTCTGCTAAATACATACCTCACTCGACAGGAGGGTTGGTAGACTTGCAGTTTTTCTTTGTCTCCTCAATCTGTGAATGATGGATCAAACCATGCTCTCAGTGAGATGTTAGAAACTGGGAATAGTGTTTTCTAAATTCTCCGCTAGTTATTGTCAATTATCACCTGGTGCATCTTTGTTCTCACATTGCTGTTTTTTTTTTCTTCAGTGTTTATAAAGTTATTTTGAAATTATTATTATTTTACATTTTCATATGCAAAAATATGACAAAATCAAGTCATTCCCCTCCACTTAACAATTATGTAATGCTTGGATTTGCATACAACATAACATCTCAATAAAATACACACAAGCTTTCTAGGAAGAAATACATAATTTAGTATACAAGGAAGGGATCATAAACCATTTCAATATGAAGCTTGCAAAAATCTGCCTCTTTTACAAAGCACAACAGATCTGTAATTATGCAGCCATTTCACCCATATAGCACAGAGCATTACCAAGTAGGAATTCAACAATATATAATAACTCAGTAAACCTGGTTTCATGTTCGCTAACTGTTCTAATTGTAGAATCCCGTTAGCTTCGAAAATAGTGATTTATTTTGAAATTCAAACCGGAAGCTGTCTGCTTCATTTGAGCATAGCACAATGGAAGGAAAATACAGGTGTTAAAAAAATCTTCAAACACAACCAATCATCAAACAGAAAGCCCATTTAATAAATGCTTAGAATATATTGTTCTTAAGCATTGGCATTGTGGAACTGTTTAAAACACACTACCTGGTAGCAAAGCGCATAGTTCTAACTGGCATTCTTTTAACCAATAATCACGGAGCAAGTTTTGAGACAGGCCAATCAGGATTCAGCATGAAGTGCTAACCAATCAGCCTCGAGAATTTGTTCGCGGGTATCTCCCTGCTAGCATCGTTGCAAGAAGAAAATACGTTTGAGTTAAATAAAAGTTTTTTCGTAAGTATTTGTGAGTTTTTAGTACTCTTACATGTAGTAGTTAGCAATTACGTGTCTTTTTAAAAATAATTTAGAAGTTTAATTTACTGATAACCCAAGTTTAAGTTATTAATGATGGGAAAAAATAAGCTAACCACTCGTTTTAATCCAGAATGTTCTTTTTCAGCTATGATGGAAACTGAAAGCTCAGTCTATGACAGGTAAAAATCCCCAGGCCTGTAATTTAAATTTGCACTTAAGAAGTTTACTAAGAATAGTCGTCATAAAGTCATGTAATATAAATACTTTGTCTATTATCAGGATTACACGGTTTAGTACTAGTGATACGATTAGTAATTATAGTTAATTATTGTCAAGCTTTGTCCTAATCCTGATTTGTTTTATTGTTAGTCTGGAAGACTTGGATCTTTCTTCAGATTATGGGAGTATCTATAATCCCAAGACAAATGTCTCAAAGCGAAGTAAACTGCCACTAACTGGGCCTCAGGTACTTTTCTTTTTATTTTAATTCATTGTTTATGTCATCTGTTTTATGAAGGCAGTTGTTTTTAATGGTTCATACCAAGTTTGGAATAAAATGTAGGTGGGCTGAAACAATTAATCCGATTAATTGGGATTAATCAATTAGTGAAATAATTGTCAACTAATTTTGTTATTGATTATTTGTTAACTGGAGTCTAGAGACTCTAAAACATGATTTTAGCTGACAGAATGACCCACTTAGAGCAGTAATTATACCAAGATTATGAAAAAAAATCTATAAGCATTTTGTATTTAAGATTACCGGTAAAAAATTTTTTAACTTGGTAAAAAAAATCTTCTTTAAGGAACCTTTGGCTATCTGATTGTTAATCGATTAATTAAAAAAATAATCGACAGATTAATCGATTTGCAAAATAATTGTTAGTTGCTGCCCTAAAATTGAGGTATTAATTTTAAAATATATATGTTTGTATTTCATTTTTTTTCTGCCCATCAATCCATCTGTTATTCATTTGTATGTCCTTCTTACCAAAGTCTTTGTCTCTCTATCGATCAAACTCATTACTTTTTCACTGTTTCACTCATTAAAGCTAAGTCTAACTAAAACATATCTGCCTTAAAATCAGTGTTTTGTACTTTTTGAAAGCAGGATAAAAAGGAAAACTAATAGAATTTTTGCTTTTTTTATTTGAAAAATTTACTTGGATTCTTTGATTCTGTCCATGTTTTGGTATTTCCAATTTACCTCAATGTAGCTGTCATTTTAAATTGTTATAATAAGTCAACAACTGAAACCTATTACAGAAGCCTATAATAAAACCTTTTTTTTTATTCACATCTCCTACCAGTCCACAATATGCTTTTAAATAATTCTCT